TGGTATCATAGATATATTTGTATTTTCAGTACGTAATGTAAGTGAAAATCTAACAAATCTTGAATATAAATGAAACTGTTTCCACACACACACACACACACACACAAGTAGGATATTGCGGATAAATTCGAAATATGTAGTGACATATAAAAATACTGTTAAGAATATTTATTCAAACTTTACACGTAAAGACAACATGTATGCACCAAATTATTTATTAATATATGTATATATATTATAACATAATTCATATAATATTTTATAATATACATACAATATATATAATATATACATACAATATATATAATATATATATACAATATATATAACATATACATACAATATATATAATATATCCTAACTTATAATTTTGTACTACTTTGACTATTTTGTTTATAGTATGAAATTTGAAATTTGACACGCAACTCAATACTTTAGGAAGAAAATTATCGTACACAACGTACTCATGTCTATATAAAGGTTGTTGGAAAGTCTATAATAAATTGTTCACATATCTTTTTTCTATGTAAGAAATGCGAATAACATTATATTAATCGTCATTATTATTAAAAAATGGTACTTAAATTCGTTATAAATGTTATAATCTCGGCGTGAGCTAATACTAAGCCGAATGTATGCCAAGAAGCAGTAAAAATGTAAATAATATTCGTAGCAAATATTTAAATATATTCTGTATATGTATATTATTATTATATATATATTATTCTGTATATTATATATCTGTTATTACTAATTAGATTTTTTATACATAGAATAACTTCGCCCATTTTCAAATATTTTATGTCAATAGTCGAAACAAATCTAGAACTAATCGATTTCTGTTGTTTATAATGATGCAACGACTGCCATTTGCAAGAATGCATTTTCTACAAAAATGTAATTTATCGTATAAAACTAAATATAACTTCTTTTATTTAATCCTACATTGTAGAAAACTACACACTCATTAGGGAAAAATGTGTCTTTCTTTATGTCTCTGTATGGTCTGTGAGATTGAAATTTGTTGACCACATTCGCACAATATTCTGGGCTTATTTCTAGTATCTTCTCTATTTCCAATTTATTTTGATTCATATCATATTTTGATATAGATGTGAAAAGTACCGGACATTTCTGACATTGTAATATTTTTATAGTGTCCGCCCCTAATTCCTTAACATCTACATTGAATCCTATAATCACATCTGGTGAAACGTAGGAACTACCTTGCACATAAGACTTGTACGACATATCGTGTACTTGAAAAGTTAGCATTTTTTTCGTCATACGGCACATGTCACATATGTCCCATTCTCCTATATCTTCTGCATCAATTTTTAATCCTGGTTCTATCATTATAATCAATATTTTTTTTGCTGGGAATAAAATATGCAGTGACATTTCCCAAGCTGACAAACTCTGCTTATCCGTCAAGCTTCCGGCTATAATGTGTAGGACATAAGTTTCCTTTGGCCTCGAAAAAGCCAAAGGTCTTATACGAAATATTGTATAACTCACTGTCAATGGTCCCGATATGGCATTGGAGTATATGTAATCATTGAATTTCCAATCAACCTTTAGTTGTACTCTTCTCTTGAAATAGTTAACAATTGCTTCTGTGCTATTATTTTTAATTATTTCTAACGCAGTTGAAGGTAGATGGTATGGCGGTATTTTCGCATCTGTTTTCTCTAAACATTCGTAAATATCCTGATACAAAGATTTTTTCAAATGCACACAGTCGTGTTCAATGGAACTGGACTTGTGATCATCGCACAAATTGAGGTGTAAGCATGTAATACAAGCGATTTTCAAATCTCGTTGTTGGTGACAAATGCCGCACGATTTTGCGAGCAAGAACATCTGCTCCTCGTACGGCTCCAATTTACGACATAGAATCGCCTTGATACTTTGCAGATTCTCCTTCTTATGTTTGACCCATTCGTCGTCCGTCATTCCACGAGTGATCCATATATGTTTCGTCCTATTCATTTTTTTTATAGCTTCACATATTTCCTGGTGTTGCGGTTGATGCTGCAGTCTGTGCTCCTCGCAGCAGTAAGAGATCATGGAACAATCCGAACATAATTTCAAATACTCTTGATTTTTGTATTTGCAAATGTGACAAAGGTTAGGATGAAAAAAGTAATTATAACGCTGCGGAGGAACTCTTGTTCCGCAAATAGATGTTGCCATTATTCATAACAATATGTCTTTATGTAACTCCCAAATAATACTTTATCTATAATGTGAATTAAGAGAAAAATATAAAACTTTTGAAATTCAACGCCTTTATAAAGGTGAGAATATAGACAGTTTAGATTAGATATTTAGATAGATATTTAGTCTAAGAGTGCTCAGAGGATACTAACGTAATATTTACTAATGTTTCTGCACGTTAGGGGACTGTATATATATTTATATTTCCAATATGTAGTCTATTTGAAAGTGTAACAGACTATGAGGATTCGTTACCAAGTTGGCTGTCGCGAACAAACTTTAACCCCTGAGGGTGTATGTATTATATAGAAAAGACACGTGCCACCAGTATGTAATGTAAATGTATGTACATCTTTAAAAAAAACCGGTTTATCCTTTTGCGATTTGATGAAGCTTGGTATCTTACAGCTTTTGAGGTCTCTGAATTCAGTAAAATATCAGAATCTCAAAATTCAAAATAATAGATCCAACATGGCGTATTAAAGGTTGAAAAATAATTGTATTTTTATAAAAAATGATTGTACTGAGGTTTTTGAGGCCGCTGAATATAAATATATTTGAATCTCACAATTCAAAATAACAGATTCAACATGGCGGATAAAAAATTAGAAAATATTGGGAATTTTTTATATTACGATCCGCCATTTTGAATTTTGAAATTTTGATATCATATTCGGATTCAGTGAACTTGAAAATCTTAATATTAAAATGTTAGCGCAATTGTAAGAAAAAAACTTTTTTTTTACACACTGGTGGTACGGATGTCCCGTTTTTATCACACAGTCAAGGTATTAAGAACCTATCGATATGTATAGATATGTATATTAAATATAATACTTACATTGTATTCGGTATATGCTATCGATATATGTAATATAAGAAACAAATAGAAATTGACACACAGAAACATTTCTACATATATATAGAAAATTGTGCGTGGATATATATTTGATACAGAGATAATTTATTTAAATTAATTAATTAAATTTAATTTATGATAATTTACAGACTTTGCAGGTTATGGAGCTATTGCGTGAAGCTCTTTTGAGCAGATAAAATATTCCACAAATTGGGTACACTTGAATTACCTTTGCAATTACAAACAATAGGAAAAGAAACGAAGTTACAAGATTTGTTGTTTTCAAGGGGCATATGATTTGATGGTAATATAATTTTGTTATAGATTGAGGCGTGAAGGAGATTTCAATATATCGATATGATGAATTGTCTGAAATCAAGAGTGAAATACGATTGAAATCTTTCTAATTTGGAGTTATTCTATTTCATATGCACTAATGTTAACTATATATCCCGTCCCACTAGAAATTGCTGAAGTGTACTTAAGGCTTCTGGCTTCTTGCATTGTCTCTCACGTTTTAATGACATTAGAAGCGGGAGAAAATGCATGCTAGAAATGCAAGCGAAATACATTAAAATAATAATGTATATCCGTAAAATAACACTTGCAATCGGTTAAATTAATTTGTATGATATTCGGTACACTCTCCTGTTGCTCTAACAATCAATACTTTGTTGTAAATTAACATGACATGTTTTCTTAGCCTATTTCTTCGCCTATTTCTACTTAGGTTAATTTACAATAAATTATTGATTGTTAAAACAAAAGAAGAGAGCACGTAATATCTTACGAATTCATATTTAATTTATCATCGAAAATTATATATTATTTAGGAAAAAACGTGTCCCTCTTTATGTCACTGTATGATCTCTAAGATCGTAACTTGTTTTCCGTAGTTATAGCAGATATTAGGATACGTCAGCCTATCATCTAGCTTCGTCATGTCATTTTCAAGTGTTGATATAATCGTAAGAAATAACATACATTTCTGACATTGTAATACTTTTATAACGTTTGTCTCCAATTTTCTTAAGTTTTATGTAATCCTGTAATCATATCTGGTGGAACATAGAAACGAAGTTGCACATAATATTCGCACGACATATACTGGGAAAAAAAGTAGTTGAATCGACAAAATCGACGGTCATCTGCCGTTAAAGAAATATCATATATACTCAGTATACGCGTTAGTACAACAATTAGTTGCGTTGAAATAATTATATGTGCACTGATAGTAATATTAATGTAACTTATTGTTGCATTAATGTGCATTTTATTTGATTTGTCTATTTTGAATAGGTCCAGTATTTCTTTGAGAGCCGATGATTGCCGATTTTAAAGATCTAACCATCTTTCTTCTCAATGTACCATATATTTGAAAATAAAGCGACTTATTTGAAGCAAGATACACATTACATATATCCTATATTCCGACATTAGCAATTTTTAATTCTGATTCTATGTTTATAATTGTTAATTCTGTGTTTCTGAAATATTTTTTTAACTTACTTCTCTAGTAATTTATTTTAAAAATGTTAATTGTTCGTAGAAAATTAAATAAGCATTAGGAAAAAACATTTTATTCTTTAGATCTGTATATGGCCCGTCAGAATGAAACTCGTTTCCTCTCCAAAAAAAGGCATGTAGAGATTTAATTGTTGCCGCTTTTCCGCGATGCTGATTGGTTCTCTTGCTTAACTCATTTCACGTGAGCTGCGGCTTGCTTCATGTTGTTTGCGCCTGTCAAATTAGATAAATAGCTGTCATCGCGTTGGTTACGTCACAAAAAACAAATATAGAAGAGATATGTCTCTCCCTGTCTCTCCCTGTCTTTCCCTACCTCTCCTACCTCTCCCTGTCTCTTCTCGTCTCTCCGTGTCTCTCCCTGTCTCACCCTGTCTCTCTCTATCTCTTCCTGTCTCTCTTTGTCTCTCCCCGTCTCTCCCCGTCTCTCCCTCTCTTTCCCTGTCTCTCCCTGTCTCTCCCTATAATTATTAATTGATTAAAGTATATTTTAATTTAATTTAATTTTTATTTAATTTTTAATTTACATTTTTTTTACTGTTTTTTATTAGCTATATGACGCGCGCGTAGCGCACACATGTATCGTTCTAGTTTTATAAAACGAGAATGTGGGCATTTGCCTAGCACTTCATTCAGCCTTTTGTTAATGTCCAACGCTTTACATGTTGATGTAGTCCTAAGAAGCAACGGAACATTCTGACCTTATAACAATCTTATAGTGCTCGTCCTGAATGTCATAAGTTCTGCATTAAATCCTACAATTAAATCTGATGGAACGTAGGAACTACATTGAATATAAGATTCATAGGACATTTCGTATATTTGAAAACATAGCGCCTTTTTCATGCTATCAACACTCCACATACGTCGCGTTTTCCAGTATCTCCTATATCATTCCTCAATCTTCTATCATTATAATTGTTATTTTTGTTGCTGAGAATGGAACATGTAGTGGAATTTCCCAAGCTGACAAACTTTGCATATCCGTTAAACTTATATCGTTAATATGTAAGACAATGTCTTCGATTTCCTTTATAATGCCCATCAACTTCAGATATAGCATCGTATAACACAATGTTAACGGTGTTAACGGTTTGATATGGAATCGGAATTTACTATGTAATCATTAATCTCCCAATTATGCTTTTTCTGCTTTTCGTATTCTGTAAGAAGTAATTCCATGCTATAATTTCTATTTACATCGTACATACCTTTAGGTAGATTTTATAGCGAAACTTTCATGCTTGGTTTCTGCATATACATATTATCGATGTTCAAAGATTTTCGAAACAAAGATTTTCGCAATAATAAGGTCATAACTGTATTGAATCATAATTGAATTCTGTCCACCACACTTTTTGATGGAGAAGCATTACAGACAAGTGACTTCTAGGTTATGTTGTTGGTAACAAACATTGATTTTGCTAACAAGAATGTCTGCTCCTCGTCAATTTGTTTTAATTTGTGACGTAGAATCGCTGGACAGTTTGCTCATTCTGCTTTTTATGTATAATCCATTCGTCTTTCGTCATCCCTCGAGTCCGCAGCAGTTTCTTATCATGCTTATTCTTTTTATAACGCTGCACATCCCCTCGTGCTGAGGTAGCTGCTCGATTCTGTACTTCTCGCTGTAATAATAGGTCATGGTACAGCCCTAACATAACATCAAATTTATGTTTCTTTCTTTACAAATATGACAAATGTTGGAATGGAAGAACTTCTTATAATCATAACTAGGCATTTGGATTTCGTTAAAGAGTCTAACATTATTCTGAAAATAATATTTCTATCTATGTATACACAGCCAATGTATGTTGATAGGGAATACTGTCAAGTAATACTTTATCTATAATGCGAATTTTATGAGAAAAATATATTACAGTTTTGAAACACGGTACTTTTACGATAGTAAGAAAATTCGGTACAGACTATAGAATTCGGTATAGTACATAGTTGTCGATTCTGAGATTACTCGGAGCAGACTAACAGAATGTTTACTGATATTTATGCCTATCGTGGTATCATAGATATATATAATATTTGCATTTTCAGTACGTAATGTAAGTAAAAATCTAACAAATCTTGAATATAAATGAAACCGTTTTCATACACACACACACACACATGTAGTATATTGCGAATAAATGCGAAACATGTAGTGACAGATAAAAATACTGTAAGGAATATTTATTCAAACTTTACACGTAAAGACAACATGTATGTACAAAATTATTTATTAATATATGTACATATATTATAACATAATTGATATAATATTTTACAAGGTACATACCATATATAATATATCTTAACTTACAATTTTGTATAACTGCAAAACAAATGCTAATTTTATCTCCACGAAAGAATTACGTTTGTGTAACTAAAATTGAAGATGTTTATATTATGAGATTTGAAATTTGACACGCAACTCGATACTTTAACGAAAAGAAGAAAATTTATCGTACAAAACGTACTCGTCTACATAAAAGTTGAAGGAATGACTGTAATAAATTGTTCACATATTTTTTTTTTCTATATGAGAAATGCAAATAACATTATATTAATCGTCATTACTATTAAAAGAGGGTACTTAAATTCGTTATAAATGTTACAATCTCGGCACGAGCAAATACAAAGCCGACTGTATGCCAAGAAGCAGTAAATAGGTAAATAATAATTAAATATAGCATATATTTAAATATATTCTGTATATGTATATTATATTATTATTATTATTTGTATATTATTCTGTATATTATATATATATATATATATATATATATATATATATATATATATATATATATATATATATATATATATATATATATATATATATATATATATATATATATATATATATATATATATATATATCTATCTATCTATTATCATTAATTAGATTTTTCATACATAGTATAACTTCGTCCATTTTCAAATATTTTATATCAATAGTCGAAATAAATCTAGAACTAATCGATTTCTGTTGTTTATAATGATGCAACGACTACTATTTGCAATAATGCATTTGCTACAAAAATTTATTTAATGTACGATAGTATACTACACAGTTATTAGGAAAAAACGTGTCCTTCTTTATATCTCTATATGGTCTGTGGGATTGAAATTTGTTATCCCTAATCACAGTATATTCTGAGCTCATTTCTAATACGTTATCTATCTCTAATATAATTTGTTTCATTTCATATTCTGATATAGCCGTGAGAAGTACCGGACATTTCTGGCGCTGTAATATCTTTATAGTGTCTGCCTCTATTACCTTAACTTCTGTATTGAATCCTATTATCACATCTGGTGGAACGTAGGAACTACATTGCTCATAAGATTTGTACGACATATTTTGTACTTGAAAAGTTAGTGCTTTTTTCATGATACGGCACGTGTCACATATGTCCCATTCCCCTAAATCTTCTGCATCAATTTTCAATCCTGATTCTATCATTATAATTAATATTTTTTTTGATGGCCATAAGGCATGCAGTAACATTTCCCAAGCTGACAAACTCTGCTTATCCGTCAAGCTTCCGGTTATAATGTGTAGGACATGAATTTTCCTTGGCGTCAAAAAAGTCAAGGGAGTTATATGATGTATCGTATAAGTCACTGTTAATGGTCCCGATATGGCATTGGAGTATATGAAATCAATGAATTTCCAATCAATTTCTAGTTCTACTTTTCTCATGAAATAGTTAACAATTGCTTCTGTGCTACCATTTTCATCTATTTCAGACAAAGTTAGAGATAGATGATTTAGCGGTATTTTCAAATCTCTTTTCTCTAAGTATTCGAAGACATCCAGAAACAAAGATCTTTTCAATTGCGCACAGTCGTGTTCAATGGAACAGGACTTATGATGATCGCACAAATTGGGGTGCAAGCATGTAGCACAAGCGATTTTCAAATTTCGTTGATGGTGACAAATATCGCACGATTTTGCGAGCAAGAACATCTGCTCCTCGTATGGTTCCAATTTGCGACATAGAATCGCCTTGATACCTTGCAGATTCTCCTTCTTATGTTTAACCCATTCGTTGTCCGTCATTCCACGAGTGGCCCATATATCTTTCGTTTCACTTATTATATTTATAGCTTTACATATTTCCTTGTGTTGCGGTTGATGCTGCAGTCTGTGATCCTCGCTACAGTAAGAGATCATGGAACAAACCGGACATAATTTCAAATACTTTTGAATTTTACATTTGCAAATGTGACAAAGGTTAGGATGAAAAAAGTAATTATAACGCTGCGGAGGAATTCTTATTCCGTAAATAGATGTTGCCATTATTCATAACAATATGTCTTTATATAACTCCCAAATAAAACTTTTTCTATAATGTAAATTAAGAGAAAAATATAAAACTTTTGAAATTCAACACCTTTACAGAGGTGAGAATATAGACAGTTTAGATTAGATAGGTATTTAGTCTAAGACTGCTCAGAAGATACTAACATAATATTTACTAATGTTTCTGCACGTCAGGGAACTGTGTATATATTTATATTTTTAATATGTAGTCTATTTGAAAGTATAACAGACTACGAGCATCCGTTACTAAGCTGGCTGTCGCGAACAAACTTTAATCCTTCGAGGGTGTATGTATCATATGTGTGCGCAGATAAAAACCACGAGCCACTAGTGTATAATATACATATATGTATATTTAAAAAAAATCAATTATTCTTTTGCGCTTTGGATGAAGTATGAAATACTTTGGTATCTTACAGTTTTTGAGGGCTCTGAATCCCAATATAATATCAGAATTTCAAAATTCAGAATAATAGATCCAACACGGCAGATCAAAAGTTGAAAAAATAATTGAATTTTAAAAATGATTGTACTAGGTTTCGAGGTTGCTGAGTATAAATAAATATGAACCTCACAAGTTAAAATAATAGATCCGACACGGCGGATTAAAAATTGGAAAATATTTGGATTTTTTAAATTTTTTAATCCTCCATTTGAAATTTTGAAATTCTGATATCATATTCGGATTCGGATCCTGAAAACCTTAATACTAAAATTGTAGCTGAATTGTAAGAAAGAACTTTTCTTCACACACTGGTGACACGGAAGTCTCGTTTTCAACAACTGCTATTTGCAAGAATGTGATTGCTACAAAAGTAATTTATCAAACAATATATATATGTATTGCCAATACTGTCAAGTAATACTTTATCTATAATGTGAATTTTATGAGAAAAATATATTACACTTTTGAAACACGTACTTTTACGATAGTAAGAAAATTCGGTGTAGACTATAGAATTCGGTATAGTACATAGTTGTCGATTCTGAGGTTACTTGGAGGAGACTAACATAATGTTTACTGATATTTGTGCTTATCGTGGTATCATAGATATATTTGTATTTTCAGTACGTAATGTAAGTAAAAATCTGACAAATCTTGAATATAAATGAAACCGTTTCCACACACACACACACACACACACACACACACACACACACACACGCACGCACGCACGCACACACACACACAAACACACACACACACAAGTAGTATATTGCGAATAAATTCGAAACATGTAGTGACAGATAAAAATACTGTAATATTTATTCAAAATTTACACGTAAAGGCAACATGTATACACAAAATTATTTATTAATACATGTACATATATTACAACATAATTATTTATTAATACATGTACATATATTATAACATAATTGATATAATATTTTACAAGGTACATACCATATATAATGTATCTTAACTTACAATTTTGTATAACTGCAAAACAAATTCTAACATTATCTCCAGGAAAGAATTACGTTTGTGTAACTAAAATTGGAAATGTTGTTTATACTATGAGATTCGAAATTTGACACGCAACTCGATACTTTAACGAAAAGAAGAAAATTTATCGTACAAAACGTACTCACGTCTAAAGGTTGATGGAATAACTGTAATAAATTGTTCACATATTTTTTTTTTCTATATGAGAAATGCAAATAACATTATATTAATTGTCATTACTATTAAATGATGGTACTTAAATTTGTTATAAATATTACAATCTCGGTACGAGCAAATACAAAGCCGATTCTATGCCAAGAAGCAGTAAATAGGTAAATAATAATTAAATATAGTATATATTTAAATATATTCTGTATATGTATATTATATTATTATTATATGTATATTACTCTGTATATTATATATATCTGTTATCATTAATTAGATTTTTCATACATAGAATAACTTCGCCTATTTTCAAATATTTTATATCAATAATTGAAACAAATCTAGAACTAATCGATTTCTGTTCTTTATAATGATGCAACGACTACTATTTGCAAGAATGCATTTGCTACAAAAATTCTTTATTTAATGTGCGATAGTATACTACACATTTATTAGGAAAAAACGTGTCCCTCTTTGTATCTCTATATGGTCTGTGGGATTGAAATTTGTTGTTCATAATCACAGTATATTCTGAGCTCATTTTTAATACCTTATCTATCTCTAATATAATTTGATTTATTTTATATTCTGATATAGCCGTGAGAAGTACCGGACATTTCTGACACTGTAATATTTTTATAGTGTCTGCCTCTAACTCCTTAATATCTACATTGAATCCTATAATCACATCTGGTGAAACGTAGGAACTATCTTGCACATAAGATTTGTACGACATATCGTGTACTTGAAAAGTTAATACTTTTTTCATCATACGACACACTTTACACATGTCCCATTCCCCTAAATCTTCTGCATCAATTTTCAATCCTGATTCTATCATTATAATTAATATTTTTTTTGATGGCCACAAGGCATGCATTAACATTTCCCAAGCTGACAAACTCTGCTTATCCGTCAAGCTTCCGGTTATAATGTGTAGGACATGAATTTTCCTTGGCATCAAAAAAGTCAAGGGAGTTATACGATGTATTGTATAAGTCACTGTTAACGGTCCCGATATGGCATTTGAGTATATGTAATCAATCAACGTCCAATCAACCCCTAAATGTTCTTTTTTCTTCAAATATTTAACAATTGCTTCTGTGCTATTATGTTTAACTATTTCAGACATAGTTACAGGTAGATAATATAGCGGTATTTTCAAATCTTTTCTCTTTAAGTATTCGAAGATATCCAAATATAAATATCTTTCCAATTGCACACAGTCGTGTTCAATGGAACTGGATTTATGATCAACGCACAAATTGGGGTGCAAGCATGTAATACAAGCTATTTGCAAATATCGTTGTTGGTGACAAATACCGCACGATTTTGCGAGCAAGAACATCTGCACCTCGTACGGCTCCAATTTGCGATATAGAATCATCTTGATATCCTTCAGATTCTCCTTCTTATGATTAACCCATTCGTCGTCCGTCATTCCACGAGTGATCCATAGAGATTTCATTCTACTCATTATTTTTATAGCTCTACATATTAGCTCGTGTTGCGGTTGATGCTGCAGTCTGTGCTGCTCGCTGCAATAAGAGATCATGGAACAACCCGAACATAATTTCAAATACATTTGATTTCCGTCTTTGCAAACGTGACAAAGGTTAGGATGAAAAAAGTGATTATAACGCTGCAGAGGAATTCTGGTTCCGTAAATAGATGTTGCCATTATTCATAACAATATGTCTCTATGTAACTCCAAAATAATACTTTATTTATAATGTGAATTAAGAGAAAAATATAAAACTTTTGATATTTAACACATTTACAGAGGTGAGAATATAGACAGTTTAGATAGATATTTAGTCTAAGACTGCTCAGAAGATACTAACATAATAATATTTACTAATGTTTCTGCTCGTCAGGGGACTGTATATATATATATATTTATATTTTTAATATGTAGTCTATTTGAAAGTATAACGAACTACAAGGGCCCGTTAAGCTGGCTGTCGCGAACAAACTTCAACCCTTCGAGGGTGTATGTATCATATGTGTGCGCAGATAAAAACCACGAGCCACTAGGGTGTAATGTACATATATGTATATTTAAAAAAAACCGATTTATTCTTTTGCGATTTATATGATGCTTCGTATCTTACACTTTTTGAGGTCTCTGAATCCCAATATAATATCAGAATCTTAAAATTCAGAATAATAGATCCAACGTGGCAGATCAAAAATTGGAAAAATAATTGGATTTTAAAAATGGTTTTACTAGGTTTCGAGGTTGCTGAATATAAATAAATATGAACCTCAAAAGTTAAAATAATAGATCCGACATGGCGGATTAAAAATTGGAAAATATTTGGATTTTTTAAATTTTTAATCCTCCATTTTGAATTTTGAAATTCTGATATCATATTCGGATTCGGATCCTGAAAACCTTAATACTAAAATTGTAGCTAAATTGTAAGAAAAAAACTTTTCTTCACACACTGGTGACACGGAAGTCTCGTTTTCGCCACACCGTCAGTCGAGGTTAAGAACATATCGATATGTACAGATATGTACATTAAATATAGTACATACATTCGATATAGGTTACCAAAAAATTGATTTATGCTACCGATATATGTAATATAGGAAACAAATAGAGATTGACACACAGAAAGATTTCTACATATATATAGAAAATTGTGCGTGGATGTATATTTGACACAGAGATAATTTATTTAAATTAATTAATTAAATTTAATTTATGATAGTTTACAGACTCTGCAGGTTATAAAGCTGTTATGTGAAGCTCTTTTAAGCAGATAAGATGTTCCACTAATTGTATACACTTGAATTAACTTTGCCATTACAAGCAACAGGAAAAAGCGAAGTTACAAAATTTATTGTTTTCAAGGGGCATATTATTTGATGGTAATAATTTTGTTATAGATTGAGACGTGAAGAAGATTTCAATACATCGATGTAATGAATTGTCTGAAATCAAGAGTGAAGTATGATTGAAGTCTTTCTGCTTTGAAGTTATTCTATTCCATAAGCATTAATGTTAACTACATTTTCTATCCTTTAAGGAATTGTTGAAATGTTACACTTCAGACTTCTGGTCTCTCGCATTGTCTATCTCTTTTATTGACGTTAAAAGCGAGAAAATGCATCCTAAAAATTCATGCGAAATACATTAAAATAAGAATATATATTCATAAAATAATACTTGCAATCGATTAAATAAATTTGTAAGATATTCCGTGTACTCCTCTTTTGCTGTAATAATCAATAATTTGTGCTAAATTAACGTAACATACAATTCGTTTTCTTAGCCTATTTGACTATTTCTACTGAGGTTAATTTACAATAAATTATTGATTATTAGAGCAAAAGGAGAGTGAGCGGAATATCTTGCAAATTCATATTTAATTCATCATAGAAAATTACATATTTATTAAAAAAAAGTGTCCCTATTTATATCTCTGTATGATCTGTGAGATAGAAAATTGTTTTACTCATTTATAGCAGATAGGCCACGTTAGCTTATAATTTAGTCTCTGTCATATTGTTTTCTGCCTTACAAGTTTTGATATAATCATAAGAAATAACATTCATTTCTGACGTTGTAATGCTTTTATAGCCTTTGTTCCTAACTTTCTTAAGTTTTATATGAAATCTTGTAATCACATCTGGTTGATCATACAAACAAAGTTGCACATAATATTCGTACGATACTCACTAAGAGAAAAAGCAGTTGGTTCGATAAAATCAACAGTCATCTGTCAAAGAGTATCATATTATTCAATATACGCGTTAGTACAATTAGTTGCGTTGAAATGATTATATCTGCATTAATAATAATATTAATGTAACTTATTGTTACATTAAAGTGCATTTTATTTAATTAGTCTATTTTAAGTAGGTCAAATATTTCTTTGATAGCCGGTGATTGCCGATTTTAATGATCTAACCATCTTTCTCCTCAGTATATCATATATTTGAAAATAAAGCGGCTTATTTGATGCAGGATCACATGTATCTTATATTCCGATATTAGCACTTTTTAATTCTGAGTCTTTGCTTATAGTTGTTAATTTTGCTCCTGAATATATTTTCAACCTTACTTTTCTAGTAATTTAATTTTAATAAAGTTAAGTTATCGTAGAAAATTGAATAAGCATTTGGAAAAAATGTATCATTCTCTAGATCTCTGCATGGTTTGTAAGAATGAAACACGTTTTTTAGAAAACGAGAATGCTGCCATTTGCCTTGCACTTCATTCAGCCTTTTGTTACTGTCCAGCGCTTTACATGCTGATGTAGTCGTAAGAAGTAACAGAACATTCTGACGTTGTAAAAATCTTATAGTGCTCGTCCTGAATGTCATAAGTTCTCCATTAAATCCTACATCTGATGGAACGTAGGAACTATATTGCACATAAGATTCATAGGACCTATCGTATATTTGAAAACATAGTGTCTTTTTCATGCTACGGCATACTCCACATACGTCCCATTCTCCTATATGTCCTCTCTCATTCCTCAATCCTGATTCTATCATTATAATTGTTATTTTTGTTGCTGGGAATAGCCCATGTAGTGGAATCTCCCAAGCTGACAAACTCTGCACATCTGTTAAATTTCCGGCAATAATATGTATGACAATGTTTTCGATTTCCTTTATTGATTATTAATGCCCAACAACTTCAGATGTAGCATCATATAACACAATGTCAACGGGTTTGATGTGGAATCGGAATATACTATGTAATCATTAATCCCCTCATTTATGTCCTTTCAGTTTTTCGTATTCTGTAAGAAGTAATTTCATGCTATAATTTCCATTTACATCATACATATCTTTAAGTAGATTACACAGCGGAATTTTCATGCTTATTTTCTGCATATACATATCATTGATGTCCGAAATAAAGATTTTCGTAATAGCTCACAATTGTATTAAATCTGAATTAAATTGTGATCACCGCACTTGTTGATGGAGAAACAGACAAGAGTTGCAGACAAGAGACTTCTAGGTTGCGTTGTTGATGATAAACGTCGCACGATTTTGCGAACATCTGTTCCTCGCACGGCTTCAATTTGCGACATAGAATCGGCAGGACAGTTTGTACGTTCTGCTTTTTATGTATAACCCATTCGTCTTATGTCATCCCACGAGTGCCCTAGCAATTCCTTATCATGCTCATTCTTCTTATATCTCTGCACACCTACTCGTGCTGAGGTAGATGTTTCATCCTGTGCTTCTCGCTGCAGTAAGACATAATGTCAGCCTAGCAGCCTGAACATAATGTCAAATTTTCGTCTCTTTTTTTTATAAACATGACAAATATTGGGATGGAAAAACTTAATATAATCATAATCAGGATATCATAAAAAGACTAACATTGTTCTGAAAACAATATATCTATGTTCTGTTAAGTAATACTTTATCCATAAAGCGAATTTTATGAGAAAAGTATATAATACTTTTGAAACACGGCACTTTTACGATACGACGCGATGATATTAACGCGTAAAGACAACATGTATACACAAAATTATTTATTAATGTATGTATATATATTAAAGCATAATTGATATAATATTTTATAATATACATAGACGATATTTATAATATACTATAGACGATATATCCTAACTTAAAATTTTGGTCCGTGTAACTAAAATTGAAAACTATTTTGTTTATAGTATAAGATTTGAAACTTGACACGCTACTTCGACACTTTAACGGAAGGAAGAAAATTTATCATACATAACATACTCAGATCTTTATAAATGTTAATGGGATGACTATAATAAATTATTCACATACTTTTTCTATGTGAGAAATGTGGATGACATTATATTAATCCTCATTACTATTAAAAAATGATACTTAAATTCGTTATAAATGTTATAATTTCGGCGCGAGCTAATTTAAAGCCGAATGTATACGAAGAAGCGGTAAATAAGTAAATAGCATTCGTAGCATATATTTAATTATATTTATCTGTTACCATTATTTACACATTCTTTTTACACATAGAATAATTGTGCCCAAATATTTTAAGTCAATGGTCGAAACAAATCTAGGACTAATGGATTTCTCTTGCTTTGTATGATGCAACGACTGCCATTTGCAAGAATGCATTTGCTACAAAAATGTAATTTACCGTATAAAACAAAATTTAATTTTCTTTATTTAATACTGGATAGAAAAGTACACACTTATTAGGGAAAAAGATGTCCTTCTTTATGTCTCTGTATGGTCTGTGAGATTGAAATTTGTTGTTCACATTCACACAATATTCTGGGTTCATTTCTAATACTTTATCTATCTCTAATATAATTTGTTTCATTTCATATTCTGATATAGATGTGAGAAGTACCGGACATTTCTGACACTGTAATATTTTTATAGTGTCTGCCTCTAAATCCTTAACTTCTATATTGAATCCTATAATCACATCTGGTGGAACGTAGGAATTACCTTGCACATAAAATTTGTACGACATATCGTGTACTTGAAAAGTTAATGCTTTTTTCATTGCATGGCATATTGCACATACGTCCCATTCTCCTATATCCTCTTCGTTAACTTTAAATCCCGATTCTATCATTATAATTAATACTTTTTTTTCTGGGCATAAGACATGCAGTAATATTTCCCAAGCTGACAAACTCTGTTTATCAGTCAAGCTTCCGGTTATAATGTGTAGGACATGAATTTTCCTTGGTAACAAAAAAGTCAAGGGTGTTATATGATATATCGTAAAAATCACTGTCAATGGTCCCGATATGGCATTGGAGTATATGTAATCAATGAATTTCCAATCAACCTTTAGTTGTACTCTTCTCTTGAAATAATTAACAATTGCTTCTGTGCTATCATTTTGAACTATGTCAGACACAGTTTCAGGTAGATGATATAGCGGTATTTTCAAATCTTTTCTCTCTAAGTATTCGAAGACATCCAAATATAAAGATCTTTCCAATTGCACACAGTCGTGTTTAATGGGACTGAACTTGTGATCATCGCATAAATTGAAGTCTAAGCATTTATTACAAACGATTTTTATATCTCGTTGTTGGTGACAAACACTGCACGATTTTGCGAGCAAGAACATCTGCTCCTCATACGGCTCCAATTTGCGACATAGAATCGCCTTGATAGCTTGCAGATTCTCCTTCTTATGTTTGACCCATTCGTCGTCCGTCATTCCACGAGTGATCCATATATGTTTCGTCCTACTCATTATTTTTATAGCTCTACATATTTCCTTGTGTTGCGGTTGATGGTGCAGTCTGTGCTCCTCGCTGCAGTAAGAGATCATGGAACAATCCGAACATAATTTCAAATACTCTTGATTTTTGTATTTGCAAACGTGACAAATGTTAGGATGAAAAAAGTGATTATAACGCTGAGAAGGAATTCTTGTTCCGTAAATTGCCATTATTCATAACAATATGTCTCTATGTAACTATCAAATAATACTTTATCTAGAATTTTATGTGAATTGAGAGAAAAATATAAAACTTTTATAATTTAACACCTTTACATGCGTGAGAATATAGACAATTTAGTTTAGATAGATATTTATCTTAGGACTACTCAGAGGATAATAACATAATATTTACTAATGTTTCTGCACGTCAGAGGACTGTATATATATTTATATCTCCAATATGTAATCTATTTGAAAGTGTAACAGACTACGAGGATCCGTTACCAAGTTGGCTGTCGCAAACAAGCTTTATCCCCTTGAGGGTGTATGTATCATATTTGTACAAAAAAAAGCACGTACCATCAGTATGTAATGTACATATATGTATATTTTAAAAAAACTGATTTATCTTTTTGCGATTTGTATGAAGCTTGGTATCTTACAGTTTTTGAGGTCTCTGAATTTTAATATAATATCAGAATCTCGAACATGGCAGAACGGTTGGAAAAATAATTAAATTTTAAAAATGATTGTACTAGGCTTCGAGGCAGCTGAATTAAAATATATCTGAAACTCAAAATTTAAAATAATACATTCAACGGATCAAAATTTGGAAAATATTTGGATTTTTTTAATATTGTGATCCTCCATTTTGTATTTGGACTTGTGATATCATATTCGTATTCGAACCCTGAAAACCTTAATTCTAAAATTGTAGCTGAATTGTAAGAAATAATCTTTTTTCACACACTGGTGTCATGGAAATCTCGTTTTCGCCGTCAGTCGGGGTTAAGAACATATCGATATGTACAGATATGT